CCCCAGCTGCCTTTCCCAGCTGAATGGAAGGTTCTGGTTGACTTATCATACAATGCTGCATACCGATCTACCGGCCTCCAAGGCTTTGGCATATAAAGTCTTTTCCCTTGAAAATTGTCATATGTGGCAGCTTTTATGTGCAGTATCATGTTTCCCCTCCCTGGGGCAGAAAACACAGGAGAGGGGAGATGTTTGTGTTTCAGTAACACCGCAAGTAAAGCTGTAGATTGCCAGCTCTTTATTGGCGCAGGAAGCCACTGCTGCTCGGTCCCCGCCTGCTCCCCTGGAGCACTCGGGGCACAGCACTGCCCCCAGCTGAGGATAATGTCCCTTTGTCACTCCTAGGACAGCTGTCCTGTCCTTTCTGCTCCACAGTGTCCAGCTCTGCCCCAGCCAAATCGGTCTCCTTTCCCCCCACCCCTCCTGCAGGTGGGAGAGAGGAGAGGCCGGGCCGTTGCTGCCGTTCACCCCAAGAGGTTTTGTGTGCAGGCTCCTGCCTGGAGCTTTGTCAGTAGCACTGAAATAGTTTGGTTTAACAAGGTAGTCAAATAAATGTGCAGCAGCACTCTGGTTCTTGCCGGGGCTGCCACATGCCATGTTGTGCACAAACTGCTGGGCTGCTGGATCAGCAGCAGAGCTCTGTGCTGCCCACACAGCCTGCAAAGCCCAAGTCCTGTAGCCAGATAACCTGTGTTGTGGCCCACGGGAGTGAAAGGCCTGAGAACAGCACAGAAGCAGAGTTCAGGTAAAATGAAGAGACTTCAATGTTCAAGAGCAATTAAAAACTCTTACTAGTCGCAAATGCACTTATATAAAGTAGATAGATATTCACAGTCCTTCATAACTGTGGCTTTCCATTCAGCTTCCTTCCCTTAGCAGAAAGCAGTGCAGCTGACTTTGTAGAGATGACTCTTGGTGCTGTTTCACATTGTGGAGCACTTCTCTCGGCCTCCCCGAGCTTCTGGACAGCGAGGTCTGCTTTGGGATGGAAGAATAGCACCCTCAAGAGTTGACAGTGCTGCTTCAGGAAGCCATAGCATGCAACACACATCCTTCCTCTCTTCATCAAATCAACTCCCTGGCTCATGTAACTGAAGCAACGAGAACGAGTTTTCTGTTTATGATTTGAAATATTTGGTATCAGTCACTGTTGATACGAATGTGGAAATAAGCATTTGTGCTTGTCTGGGGATGACCCTGTTCTAAATATTTTATTTGTCTTCAGAGAAGTAGGGATAATAAAAAGACAAAGTCTTATTTTTTAAGTCTGGGAACCTCATTTTATACCATATTCAAACAATTTGAACAGGAATTTTTGTTTTCATGTAAAAAGAGATGATTTTAAAGTTCTTAACTTAGATAAAAGGGGTCTATGTAGAAAAAAATAAATACTGAGCAAACCAGTCCTTAAATTGTGGGGACTTGTTTGTTAATTACAGTAATTAGGAATGGAATTTGATCCTAAACTTTCTGATTTACTTAGAATTTTTTTTAATATGTGGTTAGGCCTTAATTTCAGAATGATTATAAATGGGAGAGCATTTTAAAGACTAAATAGGCGTAGGTATTGTTATTAAATGACAAACTTAGTTATATGCTTCTGCTTACACTTTCTTAGTTATCCTTCTGTTGTTTCATGCAGCACTGAACTTTTATTTTAAATATCTATGGCCTATTCCTGTTTCTGCTGACTTCAGAGAGGGATAAGGCCTCTCAAAAGCTCCAAGTATAAACTTCTTACTAGCTTCTATTCCAGGTGATATTTCTCCCACCAGGCAACAAGTCCAGCTCTGGGTTTGTCCCTTTTCTGGAAATGGGTTCACTTGAGTAGAACCAGCTGAATTTGGAAAGATGGGTGCAGTCAGGGGCATTTTACTCTCCATTCCAAAACACCCAAAACTCACTCCTATCACAGACTTGGGGATTTTCCTCTGTATCATGACTCTGTTCAGAGTTCTTGCTAGTGTTCTGGTTTCTTAGAGTTTCTTAGACAGTTCCCTGTGGAAGCACCCCTGTGAGGCACTGCTGCTGTGCTGAAGCCAAGACATATAATTTTAGAAAATACTGACTGTATATAAAAAACAATTTAGGATTGATTTTTTTTTCTGTTGATAGTGAAAAGTATATTTTGTAGTCTCTAAATTAATATGTTTCCCTCCTGCAATTACAGAATCCGTTCTCCTGAGAGGACACTGGAGTGCAAAAGCCAACTGACTCCACTGGCCTTGTGTTTGCTCATGACACAGAGGTTCACACATGCATTGTGTGAAACAAAAACATGGGGGCCCGGTGCACTCTCATTTTTTGTTGCCTGTTGAATACTTTGTCAATTATTTTTAACTGCAAGGAATCTGTCAAACCCTTTCTAAGCAAGGAATTTACTGTCACAAGTTTGTTTTACTAAAAAAACCCAGAACTAAGAATTGCAGCTTTTTTTTTTTTTCTCCAGCCATCGCTATGTTTGATTCATTTTCCCTGCAGATCTTTCTGTAGCAATTTTAACCCCCACCTGCTCCGGTGGCCTTGGCTTGTCCTTCCTCTATGCCAGTTTCAAAGGGACCTTCGGGACCAGGAGAACGAAATGCCCGTGGGGTTCCCTGCGGTGCCCCTGGATGCCGTGCAAGGGGGGACAGAGACATCTGCTCTGCGCACTGGAGGGATCGCAGCTGGAGGAATTTTGTGCATGCTCACCCCTCCCGAGCTGAAGCTTGAAACGGAGGCTCCTGGGGAGGCTGTGGCCGTGCACAGGAGCTGCTGTGGGCGCACAGCCCGCAGGGGAGCCACGGGGGCTGCTCCTCTCCAGTCCCGCGCTGCGGGAGCATCGATCTCCTCCGAAACCCTCAGAAGACGGAGACAGGGAACGCCCGGGGCACCGGGCCGGGGGGACCGGGCCCGGCTGCGCCCGCGGTTATCTCGGGTCAAGGCCGGGAGGCGGCCCGGCACCGCTCGGGATTGCTGAGCGTGCGTTTGGAGAAATCCGTCATTAAATTTACCTGCTTGATTCGTGCGGGGGGTGAGGGGGCCCGCAGGTGACC